TCCAGCATCTGCCTCTTTACCATTATGCACACAGCAAATATGAGTCACACATACTCTAATAATCTCCACTCTTGGCAAATATTCACCCCTTAGGAGAAAAAAAAAAGGACATGTATTCGAGAACTCCACCGGGGACGCTGAGTTGAGGCATCTCCCATCTAGCAACTAGAGACATTAATCAAGTCCAAGCAGTGCTTGAACTTGTCTGTAGTAACAAGCTTTGTCAACATGTCTGCTGCATTCTCAGAAGTGTGAATTTTCTCAAGTAGTAGTTCACCAGAAGAAACCAGTTCCCTGATCTTATGAAACCTCACATCTATATGTTTGGTCCTCGCATGATACACCTGGTTCTTTGCCAAATAAATGGCACTTTGACTGTCACAATGCAATTGAACTCCACCTTGCTGGGCACCCAGCTCCTTGACTAAACCTGTAAGCCACAAAGCCTCTTTGGCAGCCTCAGCTACTGCCATATACTCTGACTCAGTAGTAGATAGTGCAACTATAGGTTGTACCATAGACTTCCAACAAATAGGTCCTCCCACAAGAGTAAACACATAACCTGTGGTAGACCTCCTGTCATCCAAGTCCCCTGCATAGTCTGCATCCACATATCCCATAACTGAAGGGTCACTCTATTGTCTGCTAAACATGATGCCATAGTCTGTAGTGCCCCTCAAGTATCTGAAAATCCACTTGACTGCATCCCAATGCTGTCGACCCGGATTTGAAAGAAACTTGCCAACCACGCTGACAGCTTGTGCCAAATCTGGTCTTGTACAAACCATAGCATACATCAAACACCCCACTGCACTAGCATATGGGACCTTTGACATGTCATGAACTTCATCATCTGTTTTCGGGCACTGAGCGGTAGACAATCTGAAATGATTTGCCAAAGGTGTACTTACTGATTTTGCATAACTCATGCTGAACCTGTCCAACACCTTCTCAACATAGCTATGCTGAGATAGCCATAATCTCTTGGAAGCTCTGTCCCTGCGAATCTCCATCCCAAGAATCTTCTTGGCTGCACCCAAATCCTTCATGTCAAATTCTCTACTCAACAAAGTCTTCAACTTGTTGACCTCACTCATACTCTTGGCAGCAATCAACATATCATCCACATAAAGTAATAGAAAAATAAATGAATCATCATCAAGCCTTTTTACATAGACACAACAATCATACTCACACCTTTTGTAGCCAATTCGGATCATGTAAGAGTCAAATCGTTTGTACCACTGCATCGGAGACTGCTTCAACCCATAAAGTGATTTCTTCAAATTACAGACCAAATGTTCCTCTCCAGGGAGACTGAACCCTTCTGACTGTACCATGTAAATCCGTTCCTCCAAGTTGCCATGAAGGAAAGCTGTCTTTACATCCATCTGCTCTAACTGCATATCTGAATGTGCTACTAGTGCCAACACTGTCCTGATGGAAGTGTGTCTGACCACGGGAGAGAAGATCTCATCATAGTCAACCCCTTTTCTCTGTGAGTAACCCTTTGCTACTAGACAAGCCTTGAATTTTTCTCCCTCCTTTTCTGATACTGCTTCTTTCTTCTTATACACCTATTTGCACCCTATTGCTCTCTTCCCCTCGAGAAGTTCCACCAACTCCCACGTCTGGTTCTTATGTAGAGACTCCATCTCCTCCACCATAGCACCCATCCATCTACTTTTCTCTTGGCTTTGTACTACCTCCTGAAAAGTTGTAGGATCCCCTCTATTAGTAATAAGCGCATAAGAAACCAAATCTTCAAAACCATACCTGGTAGACGGCTTGATATTGCGTTTGGGCTTGTCTGTGGCTATACTATGATGTTGCTGATCACCTGAGATAGAACGCTCTACATGCTGAGCATCCTCTTCTCTACCATGATTCTCTAGCTCCACCTGCACCACATGGTCATTAGTGCTACAGTTTTCTGGTACTTGTTTCTCTTCTTCCTAAGTATGCTGCAACAGCCTTTCTGATATCCCAGAAAGATACACTGTCTAGACTTCGCATCAACCTTCGACCTCTCCTCACTAGAAACATGTACATAGGCTGGACATCCAAACACTCTCAAACCAGAGTAGTCTACCTCACTGCCTATCCACACCTCCTCTGATACTTTCCCATCTAGTGCTACCCTCGGTGATCTGTTAATCAAGAAACATGTCATATTCACTGCCTCTGCCCAGAAATTCTTTGCAAGCCTTGCATTCAACCTGAGACACCGAGCTTTCTCGGCTATCGTTCTGTTCATCCTTTCCACTACACCATTTTGTTGTGGTGTCTTGCGGACTGTGAAGTGTCTCTTGATCCCATGCTACTCACACAACTTCTAGAACTTTGAATCTGTGTACTCAGTACCATTATCTGACCTGAGGCATTTAATCTTCCTCCCTGTCTGGTTCTCTACTTCAGCTTTCCATAGCTTGAACTTGGCAAACGCTTCTAACTTGTGCCACATGAAGTACACCCAGACCTTTCGTGAGTAATCATCAATGAAACTCACGAAATACATGTATCCTCCCCGTGATACTACGCTAACTGGTCCCCAAACATCTGTATGGACATAGTCGAGAACCCCCTCTGTCTTGTGTGTGGTTGTCTTGAACTGCACCCTATTCTATTTTTCAAGAACACAATATTTGCAAAAATTGAGCTTGCATGTCTTGACACCCTTCAATAGATTTTTCTTATGAAGCTCTATCATCCTATGCTCACTCATGTGACCCAACCGCATATGCCACAAGACTGTATTATCTGATTCAGACTCTACAACAACAACTCCACCTACAATTGTAGTACCCAGTAGTCTGTAAATGTTTCCTACTACTTTTTGTCCCTTCATCACTATCAACATGCCTTTACTCACTTTCATTACTCCACTTATAGATTTGTAACTATAACCATTACAATCCAAAGTGCCCAATGAAATCAAATTCTTCCTTAGATCCGGTACATGTCCAACATCACACAACATTCTAACCATACCATCAAACATCTTAATTCTAATATTTCCTATTCCAACAACTTTGCAAGATGCATCATTACCCATCAGAACAGAACCAAAATTTACTGACCTGTAGGTGTCAAACCAATCTTTGTTGGGTGTCATGTGATAGGAACATGCTGAATCCATAATCCAAGAATCTGTTAAACGATCTGAACTAGATAAAACAGAAAGCATATCACCATCACCACTCTCTGAATCTTCTTCTTTCAGACTTTGATGCACCCTCTTTGTCCTCTGAATCCCCTTTCTTTTTTCTCTGGATAGTCCCGTTTAAAGTGCCCTTTTTTCCCGCACTTGTAACACGAGACAGAGACGTCCTTCTTCTTCTTCCTCGACTTGGACCGGGCTTTATTGTTACCCGATCCATTCCGAGATTTGCTTCTTCCACGTTCCTGGTTACCTTTCACCTTGTAAAGCCTCATCACTGGCTTTCTTCCGCTGATGAAAACCTAACAGAGCACTTATGACATCCTCCAACTCGAGGGTTTCTTTCCCCCACATCAGAGTCGTAACCAAATTCTCGTACGTAGGAGACGCCGATAGGGAATTCAACAACATCAGCGCCTTGTCTTCGTCTTCGAACTTCACATCAACTCGCTTCAGATCGCTGATGATCCGATTGAACACGTTGATGTGTTGGGTCAAATTCGAGCCCTCTGACATCTTAAGACCATATAGTTTCTGCTTAAGATAGAGCTTGTTCGTCAACGACTTGGACATATACCGACTTTCCAGTTTCAACCAAACTTTCGTCGGTGATTCCTCATCCATGACGTGATACATCACTTCATCAGCCAGACAAAGCCTAATAGTCGCCACAGCCTTCACTTCCAATTCTTTCCAATCCATGTCGTCCATTCCTGCCGGTTGTTTTCCGAATAATGCCTTCACCATGCCCTGCTGCACTAACAGGTCCTTCACCCTCCTCTACCATAATCCAAAATTCCCAGTTCCGTCAAACTTCATGATGTCAAATTTTGTAGAGGAAATCCCAGACATCGTAGTCTAGCTTTGATACCAGTTGTTGTGATCGTGCAGCAATTATGGTAAATAGTAAAGAATCAAACAATTAAGAAAGTAGGAGAAAATAACACACAGAGATTTACGTGGTTCGGCAATGTGCCTACATCCACGAGAGCGAGCGGCCGTTCTTTTTTCATTATTCAAAGTAGGGTTACATCTTAAGTATTTATATAACCCTAATACAGACGTATTTACAAAAATACCCCTGTACCGTACCGCAAGGGCGTTGCCCCCGCACCCCCAACTAATCAGCATCCTCTTTATACAAATCCCACAAGGCAGATGCCATCGCAGGCTCCGCTACGCTCCGACATCTGCCTCCTTGCCATTATGCACACAACAAATATGAGTCACACATACTCTAACATCAACAATTAGTTGTCGCCAGTTCTGGTCAACTTGCTCAGCCTCCTAAAGTGCAGAGCCTATTCCGTAGCCCAACTACAGCTGCTCGGATGCTTTTAGCAGCTATAATTGAGGCTAACCTCTAAGAGTTGGGGAAGCTTAGAATCAGCGATAAGGCCGCAAACACTCTTTATAGGGTTGTTGTACTAATACTTTGGTTTGCTTTATTTTTCTTTTTTTTTTTTTCCCAAAATTTATTTCTAAGTATTCCCTTTTTGCAGGCTATCACCCATATCAGCTCACTAACCATGCAAGCACAAATGTTGGAGAAATAGTGTAATGAGAGGACTATTGAGCTCAACACATCCAATAAGCTAATGAATGATATGCTCTCTCAATTCAATGGACTTAAGGTTTCTAAGCAGTTGTTGAGGGACCAACTAGCTACTTAGTAGGCTCTTCTCTCAATGATTAAAACCTAGTATGTAGAGGCGCTCAAAGTCGTAGAGGCGGCTAAGTCTGACAAAGTTTGAGCTGAGGGAGAATTCTCTACTAAATCCAAAATTGGTTGTGGCCACCATGAGGTATTTTGAGTTGGAGGCTAATGTGTGTACCAAAGACAAGAATGTGGAGGAGCTGAAGAAGGAGGTTGTGGAGAGCTTCTTGGATGGGTACGACCATTTTAGGGACCAAGCCAAGGAAAAATTCCCTAACCTTAACTTTGAGTCCTTTGAGCCTTCCCTTTCTAAAGACAAGGTCGGGGAGGATAAGGAAGTAGTTAAGGAAGGGGTGGAGCAACTGATCAAAGCAATTAAGGAGATGATTGAACAGTACAGGACTGAGGAGGCAACTAGCTGAGAAGTCTGACTTTGTAACCTCCAACCCTTGCTACACTCCATAACGACATTTTCTCTTGCTTCTTTATTTTTTTTTGTTCCCTTGCTACTATAGTGCCTAGTAAGAATCAGGTCAGATCAAACGTGGTGGGTCAGGTCGGGTCAATCTTTTCCTTTACCTTGTGGTTACCTGCCCTCTTCACTTTTGGAAGGTCATAATCTTGTAGAAATGATGTCATTTGCTGGGTAGTTCTAAGTTAAGCCATCCTTTTTGGGTAAGTTCTTTTCGAGGTTCTAACTAATCAATCTAAAACTGAGAATTCTGGAATACCAAGCCGAGTTGAATCTACTTTTGACTAAGTGGTCTTTAACTATTTCCAGAGCTCATGGTTTTTGAGACTGACAAGCCTAAGTCTACTTATTAAAGGATGAAAAGCTTGTTTAAGCTGAAAAGCTTGAATCTTACTGTGATTTTTCTAAATGTTGGCAAGCCCCCCCCCCTTTTTTTTACTATTGTGGTTTATCTTGAAGTGGACATACATGCATCGTAAACATTAGCTTGATTAGTCTTACGTTGTGGACTGAGCTGTTTAGTTTGAAGACTAATTAATATTCAGATCTTGGGTGACTAACTCTTAGGCTGAGAAGTCTGTTATCTATGACATAGCTGACTAGCTCTTAGGTTGAGAAGCTTGGTGTCTGTGATAGAACTGAATAGTTCTTAGGATAAGAAGCCTTCTCTATTTATGGTAGAGCTAACTAGCTCTAGGGTAGAAAAGCCTGTTGTTTATGGCACAGTTGACTAGCTCTTTTACCTTTAGGCTTACCATTTTCACATGTGACTTTGATGCAATCAGATATCGAATTTTGCAAAAAATTCCTTGAATAAGGGGTATATGATGAACATATCAAAAGAGATAACCATTTTGACATAAAAGAAAGAGAAAAATTATGGGCCAACTTGGCTTAGTCAATGATAGTATTTCCTGAGGTGTTCAGCATTCCAAGATTGTGCCAAGGTGTGCCCCTCCTCAGCTTGCAACTCATAGTTTCCAAATCTAATGATTCTTTTTACCACGCAAGGCCTTTCCTAGTTGGGTTTGAGCTTTCCCTTGTGTGGGTCCTTCGTTGCTAGCAGCAATTTATTCACAACTAGGTCTTCTACTTTGAAACTCCTCTTCTTGATCTTCTGGTCATAATATCAAACAGTTCTCCACTGGTGGGCCACAATCCTTTACAAGGCTTCACTTCTTTTTTCATCAAGGAGGTTTAGGCTGAGTAGCAAAGACCTTTCATCCTACTTGGGTATAAGCAGCTCTATCGATTGGGATGGAAGACTAATTTCAACTAGTGCAATGAACTCAGTCCCAAAGGCTTAAATTAAAGGCCTCTCGTTGATGGCAATTCGAACTATAGTTATGTAAGCTCGTAGCACACTTGGGAGGTGGTCTACCCATTGGCTCTTTGATGCTTCCATCCTTTTCTTTAATGCCTTCACTATGGTTCTGATGCTCACCACATCTTGGCAATTGGCTTGAGGATTAGCTAAAGAGGAGTAGTAATTCTTGACACCCAACACTGAACAGAAAGTTTTGAAGCCATTGTAGTTGAAATGCTTCCCTTTGTGTGAGACCATGGCTTTGGGAATCTTAAAATGATAAATGGAATGTCTTACAGACAAGGTTCTTAAGTTTTGCTGCTTCTTTTGGATCTTAAAAGAGGATTACCTCCTAAAGGTATTTGAATATGGGGGCCATCAATCTCTAACCGAATTCAATCGATATGATCTCCTCTTCAACATTCTGGAAATGCTAGATTCCACTAAATTTTTTACTAGGATAGCTCTGTCGAGGTTCCCTTGTGTTGTTTTTTCTAGCTTTACCACTGAATCTGCTATGGTGTTCTCTGCCTTGGTACTTGTAGGATTTTTATGTGAATGAACTAGTTAGGTAATTCGTTTACAACTCTCAGAAAAGCATCCATTTCTATCTTCCCTAACATTGTATTCTATACTAACCTAACTTATAACAAATTGGGAGTCATTTTAGATCATCACCTACTAAGCTTTTATTGACAAGATCACCTAAGCCTCACAATCAACGCCTCATATTCTGCGTCATTGTTGAAGGCTTTGAATTCAAACCTTAGGGCATATTCGAGGGCTATCCCTTCTAGCGACGCCGGGATAAGGCCAACTCCACTTTTTAAGCATTGAAAGCTCCATCTACGTATAATTCCCAAATTGGGATACCAAGTACAAAACCCTTTTTATACTGCACTAGAATTTGCTCATGGGATGAGGTGAACTTAGCTATGAAATTTACAAGGACTTGGCATTTGATTGTTGTTCTCAACTGAACTTGATGTTGAACTCTCTGAGCTTAATTTCCCACTTGACTAACCAACTTGATGACCAATCGACTGGTCAGTTGGGACTTCGATGGAATGTTCCTGAAAATAGGGCCTAAGCATCGTGATTGCTATAAATATGGCCAAAACAAGTTTCTCCACTTCTAGGTATCTTTATTCAGCTCCCCTCAAGGCCTTGCTACAATAATAAACTAGTCTTTGCACTTACTTGTCATTCCTGACCACAACAGCACTAACTGAGAAGTCAAAAACTGGCAAATATAGGGTGAAAGCTTCTCTAAATTTTGGACTGTCCATGATTGGCATGGTGCTCAGAAAAGTCTTCAATGACTAGAAAGCCTCCTCACATTGGTCATCCCATTGGAAGGCTTTTTTGACACCTTGAAGAAAGGCTAGTATTTGCCACTAGCTCGGGAGACAAACCAGTTCAGAACTACTATTCTACTAGTGAGGCACAATACATCCTTTGTGTTCGATGGTGATTTCATTTCAAGAAATGATATGATCTTCTCAAGGTTGGCCTTGATTCCTCTTTAATTCACAATGAATCCAAGGACCTCTCTTGTTGAGACCCCAAAAGCACTCTTAGCTGGGTTTAACTTCATGCCATATCTAATGAGGATCTAAAATACACCTCCGAATGCTTGATATGTTGATTAGATTTGAGTGATTTGATAAACATGTCATCTATCTAAACCTCCATGTTAACTTTGATATGGTCTACAAACATCTTATTAACCAATCTCTGGTATGTGGCCCTTGTATTCTTCAAAGTGAAAGGCATGCGCTAGAAGCAATAGGACCCCTCCACTATTATAAAGGACATCTTCTCTTGGTTCGTAGGGTCCATTCTGATGCAGTTGTAGCCTAAAAATGCATCCAAGAAGATGAGAAGTTCATAGCTCAAGGTGGCATCCACAATCAGGTCTATGCAAGGAAAAGGGAAATAATCTTTGGGATATTACTTGTTTAGGTTGGTGAAGCTGATGCATGGTCTCTATTTCCCATTGGTTTTCTTAACTTGCATTACATTTGCTAGCCAAGTCGTGTATTCCACTTCTCTGATAGTCTTCGCCTTAAACAGCTTTGCAACCTCCTCATTAATGGCTCTTTGTCTTTCTGGTGTAAAACTCTTTCTTTTTGTTTGATAGGTCACTAGTTCGAATCAGCACTCATTTTTTGAAAAATCACCTCCTTGAATGTCTTCGTACTTCCAAATGAAGACGTCTAAACTACTTTTTAAGAAGGTGATGAGTTTTTTTTAATCTCACTAAACAATTTGAACTAATTAAGACCACTTATCAAGTGTCGTCATCCACCGAGAAGACTCCAGATCTTTATAGGGTGTAAGCCTCGTGTCCACTTCGTCCCTCGTGTCCAGGTCATCCATCTAGGTTGTATCAATTTCCTTCGACTTCATAGAAGTTAGATAACATTCCCTTATTATTCGTCGATCTCCCTAGCCACCCCAACTCCTTTTTTAGTTGAAAATTTCATGATAGAGTGATAGGTAGAGGGATAGATTTTAGAGCATTGAGGGATGGTCTTCCCAAAATCACATTACATGTAGAAGGAGCATTGACAACAAGAAATTTAACTAGAGTGGTGGCTTGACAAGGTAAATCGCTAACTGTTAGGATCAATTTAATTGATCAAAGTGGATACACTTTCTCCCCTGAAAAACCTACTAATGGAGATTTGATTGGCTGGGGTTGATCTCGGCTGATACTAAGCTAATCAAAGGCACCTGCGAATATAATGTCAACTAAGTTGTCGTTATCAACCAAGACTCGGTGAAAGTCTTTTTGGATATTATGGCTTTGATGACAAGGGCTTATTGTGTATATGTTAACACCCTTCAAGTCAGCGTTAGAGAAAGTGCTTTCAGAGTTGAGGCGAGTGGACTTTCGAAACCTCACAAATTTGAAGATTTCAACTCACCTAGATTCTCCTCCTTTAGCCAAACCCTCTGAGATAACCTAGATCTCACCAATGGTCTCTTCATGCTGCTGTCTTGCCTGGGGTGGTTCCTGATGGTTTCTAGTTCAATCATCCCCTTCTCAAGCTACAAACCTCATAAGATGTCCTCTTTAAATAAGGAACTCAATTTCTATTTTGAATTGGATGCACTCATCCCTTCCATGACCATGGTCCTTATGGAAGTTATAGAATTTGTTCACATTCCTCTTGCAAGGTCAGACCTTATATTGGAAAGCAATTTAATGAAACTTTTATCTTCGAACTGTTGCAATACCTAAGACGCCGAGGTGTTTAGTGGAGTGTATTGCTTTTGTGAAAACCTTGGAAATTCGGCTTGGGTGGTCCTAGTCGATTTTGTTCATCTCCTTTTCTCTTGGGAAATCAATCCCTACTATTTTTGGGTGGGTTTTGTCTCATTTATTTTATTGCCCCCATGCTAATTTTTTGTAGCTAAAGAGCTATGTCTCGCTCAAAGGACTTATTCCTCATTCATGTGTTTTTTCACCTTGACTAGCACGTAAGCTATGCTGATATGAGGATGTTTGGAGACAAATTTTAGAAATTCTAAAGGTTGTAAAACAAAAATAAACGCTACCAGAGCTACCTTGTCATCAAGACCATCTACTTGAAGAGTTTCCAGGTGTTCAGTGTCTCACTTGCCTTTTATTTGAT